GGACGATATTTGAACGGGTTGGTTTCTTTCTTAAAGGGGTCATCGGATGCCCATTTTCCACAAGTTGATATGATTCTATAGGGTCTTAATGAAAAGTCTGTAACATAGTTTGGTTAAAATTAGCTGCTCTCAGAGAGACTGTTTACTTTAGCCGCATTCATCGTGAAACTTGCTAATTAGCACATTATTAGGAAAGGCGATTTGCAAAGATTCATTAAAAAACCTTATACTCACTTCTTCTGTAGATGAGGCTGGATCACGAATGATTCGCGCGAACATAGACGCATTTATGTAGATCGCGGGAGCATTCCCTTCAGAAACAAATGTAACCCACTGCGTCTTCAGCGACTCAGATGTCGGGAGTAAATGAGGACTGCTATGTTCATTATTACATCCAACAACAGAACACCTCAATCGCTTAGGAGTCATTCTTGTCTACATCTGCTCCGGCGGTGAAACAATGGCGGACTGATGACAGTCACTCAGGGCGGAGCTAAGACACCAGTCCAGTCTGTGCTGAAACACTACTGTCAATCAAACTATCGTGGGAGGGGCCTGTCTGTGTGACGTCACACAGACAGGCATCTGAGATCGGCTCGATTTGAGAAAGGGGTAAAGATTTTAGTAGATTAACAAAAAACCACTGGGTGGATTTTTATCATTATAGGGTGGTTGTGTACACACACTGACAACACACATTTCAGTTCAAACTACTTGTAAAAGTGCATGTAGCAAATTTTATATATATGTATGTGTATACATATATATTTGAAGGATCACGTGACACTAAAGACTGGAGTAATGATGCTGAAAATTCAGCTTTGATCACAGAAATAAATTACATTTTAAAATGCATTAAAATATAAAATAAATCTTTTAAATTGGTAGTGGAATGGTAGTGCAGCTTAATGTACTTTTCAAACCGAAAGATTTGCATTGTCCTTTAAAAGAAAATAAAACAGTAAATAGTTCTAGAATTATACTCCTGAAATTTGAAATAGAACAAGGTCTGACTCTGGCTCTAATGGCTTTGACAGCTTCATATTTTTCCATTAAAAATATAATTCTGATGACTTTCCAGCTAATTTACACTTTTCTGATTATTTTTCTTTTCATTACTAAACTGTTTCAGATTCTAATTCAACAACCTCCCAAGTGTCTTCTTTCAAAGATCATCACGCCTGCAGTCCAAAAGGTTTGAGAATGTGCAGATGTGTCAATGTGCAGATTAACAAGTTAAATCTGTTCAAATTAAAGGCTCCAAAAGGCGGTTTTCGCAGCGATGCCATAGAAGAACGATTTTGGGTTTCCCAAAAAACCTCTCAGTGAACAGTTCTTAAAAGAACCGTTTTTGTCTTAGCATAAAGAACATTTGAATAATCTAAAGAATCTTTTTCCGTCACACTCTTTAAAATAGGGACTTTTGGAGCTATGCCATAGAAGAACCAATTTGGGTTTAAAGGAACCATTTTTGAAGAACATTCTAATATTCTGAAGAACCGTTTTCCACTATAAAAGAAACGTTTGTGCAATTGAATGTTCCAGGAATATTAAAGGCTCTTCAAGGAAACATTGATGCCAATAAAGAACATTTATTTTTAATAGTGTACGAGGAACAATCAACTGCACTCAATGGATGGTAGAAGTTCTTCATGGAACCAATAAAGATGCCAATAAAGAACCTTTATTTTTAAGAGTGAAGCATTTTATTCTGGTGCTTTAAAGACACCCAAACCAGAAGAAACTTTTTAGGCTCCTCGATCAGAAGACAGTTCTCTGCTGAACCCAGGAGCCCCTGAAGAACCTTTATTTTCAAGCGCACATGAGATTGGCTGGAGGTGGGGGGTGCTGGGAGAACTTCTCCAGTGAGTCCAGCTCCACACCCCAGCAACAGTGGGTCTCAGGGTGGAATTTTCCATGGAGCATGTGGCACGGAGTATACGCACACTGCTCTCTAGTTTAAATAGTGCTGTGTGGGCTCTGCCAGCGCTCTGTCTCTGCATGAGCCCCACTCTATCTCTCTCTCTCTCGTGCATATTTGTGTGGCTTCCAGTGCCGCTGTGCCCTGCAGTGCTGCCTGCGAGCGCTTCCTGGCGCCCAACCAAATAAGGCCGAAAGCATGTGAGCGCATTAGCCAACACATTCTGAAACAGGACACCTCATTCAAAGTTCACTTGCAGGAAAAAGCTAACTACATCTTATATGGTTATTATCTAGTCTTCTTTCTTTTCTATATGCTCATTGTTTCCTTGCCACACATTGGCTCCATTCCAAATCTGCACTGTCTACATAGGCAGCTGCCTTCTAAGGATTCTATCTGAAATGGAATCTCATAACTGACCGGAACTGATTTGGAACGCTCTACATAGGCAGCGACTACAAATAGCACTCCTCCGAGGAAGTGTGTGGGAGACTTGACTCCCAATTGATTTCAATGGAGTTTGGTGTTAGCAATGTGTGCTAAGCTAACACTGCTAAACTTGAAATAAAATACACAGCACACAAAGATTTTGTAAACTGCCCATTTTTAATTAGATTGAACTGTTTTTCATTCATACTTTTTACTATTGAATGAAAATTTGTAAGGGGCCAAAGGTGCACCGGGGGTTTCATTTTATTCTGCTTTTAACCACTAGATGGCACAAAAACTGAGGCAATTTCCTAAACCTCCGCATTATGGAAATTTGGCTGATCTTTAATGCGATAACAGGCAGCATGGCAAAGCTGATTCTGAACTCATTTGATCTAATATGTATTGTTGTAGATTTATGTAGCAAACGAGAATCTATAAAATTAAAGAATATACAGAGACAAACATCTGATGTTTAGTTTTGTTCGAGGCGATTAAATCAACAGTTTTTCCAGTGATTCAAGAATATGTAAAAGTATGATATTTGGGGGTAAAAAGCAGCTCTGCTGATCGGCTAAAGGCATAATAATTAACGTAATAAACAGATGGTTTACTTTTCCATTTCTTGATATGATATGGTTAGCTTTTTATTTATTTTTTGTATTGCTTTTTTATTTATTCTTACTAATGTGGAGCCATATTGAATTATTATGGGATCTACTTCAAAGCTTAACTTTTGTTAACATATTTTTCTGTATTTTTAAAATAAACATTTTAATGTCAGTTTTAATCTAATGACAGATGTATTGAACACAAAAAATATTTTCTATTTATCAAAATAAACTATTTGTTTTGAACAAGTATTAACGCAAAAACAACATTGCTGGTGGGCCTTTTATCCCAAACATGTTACGAGATTTCTAAACAAAACAAACCACTTTTATGATTTATTATCCCGCTTAATGTGTTGCTCTCTCAATGTTCAATAAAAATATTTTTTTCTGCAGTCATACATACAGTACAAGAGTAGTGACATTCTCCTTAATGCGTGCCTTAAGCCCCGTTGTACCCTAATCAACATTTCTGTTTCGCTTCGCTTGAGCAAGTCGCAATGCATTCTGGGATTTCAACATCCATTAGGGATACATGTGATACTGCTTTAAACTTGTCGCACACCACAATGAGGACAACTCACAGGTATCACAAACCGAACGGGTCATTCTGTACTCGCACGCTCAAGTTAAAGGCAGTCGTCCAAGAATCTAAACACCATACAGGCAAAAGTTCACTTCAAGTTTACACTTGCATTGGTGCATAAAAAAACAGCACAGACAGTTGAATTAGATTAAAAAGGGTTATGCATATATATATCATTGCCTATAGCATAAACGTTATCCAAGGGAGTGTGTCTACAATGCCTTAAAACGCTAACTACGTAGGCAGCTCTTTAGGATTTGGAACAGAGCCATTGCGATCTAACCCACAATCTGAAAATTCAATTTTAAAATAATCGGTGGTGTTTCTCCGAATGCTGACTCAGGATTATTTATATCCCATAAATGCTTGCTGACTGGGGCTGGCGCTGTGCCAACTCTTTTCATATTTGGAGTATTTATACAGCAGGCAGTGCCAAGAATAACATTTAATGCAAAAAATGATTTCAAATGATTTACCCAGCAAATTTGCATAAATGAGGTAAAGACTCTGCAGACAGCTGCACAAATATTGATCCCACACTATAGCCTACGATGTGGCGACTGTGGTTTAGTGGTTAAATCTGTTCTGTAACTGAAAGATTGTGGATTCAAACCACTCCGAGGAATGACACACTGTGTGCTCTTGAAAAAAGAGCCTAACCTCAGGTTACTCCAGGGGGGTGAAACTCTAATTAGTGTAATAAATGGCAAACTAGTCATTTAGAATGCAGTCAAGAATAATCTGGCTATAACATCTTAGTTCTTCACATTTGACATGAGGTTCATATTAGACAACAATCGGATAATGAGTACTGAAGGCTACAACGACTGAACCTTATTTTTAGTATAAATTACAAATGACAAAATAAATGACACAAAACAAGAGGTATTTATGGACTATGGGAATGACCTGCAGAGAAAAACCAGCACTTTTAATTCTTAGCCTCAAAGGGGAGTGTAGATCTAGGGTGCACCGTGACAGCCGGAACCATGCCACGATATCTTTGAACATGCATTTAACAACAATGTTTAAATGATTGTGGCAACTGCCAATTTTGGTAAATATGGTGCCAATTTTCAGTTTTGAAAGCTCTATAGATACACATGTTCGATTTATGCATCTATAGCAGAAGCTTTAATCGAACACAACTTACAAAATTTGAAATAACAAAAAGATGCTAAAACTAAATTTGGGCACTTTGTCTTGAGAGGATCAACATGTTTGTGACATTGCAAACAATGCTTGTTATAAATATGCCTATTTTCATTCTTTCATTTAGGCTGTGGGTGGCAGGGAGCCCGTCGAGTGTTTCTGCACTGGGGCCCATCAGACCCTCTTTAAAGGTAAACTGAGCACAATGATGTTGAGGTTCAACCTAAAACGCTTTCAGTTACCAGCCCGAATATGAAGCCAATACCCAATCCCACCCCAAAAACAGGGTTGAAACACTCACTCTCGGCAGGGTAGAAGGGCTGCATGTCTATCTTGTGCACTTCTTTGGCGTAGTACTCCTCCTCGCTGCGCTGTCTCTCGCAGGTGGCCGCTCGCTCGTTGGCTTTCTCCTGCAGCAGGTCCCGTGTGCTGTTATAGATGGCGATGATGTCCCGGGACACCTCCTCGGGCTCGGGGTAGATCTCCGGAGGACTGCTCAGCTTGAGTTTACTGAGGATCTGACCGCGGATGGCCTCGATCCGCTTCTTTTTGAACTGCTCCATGTCCAGAGTGCTGCATGTGGATAAACTGACGGCCACTGTGGCTAAATCCAAGGTCAGAAGGAGACTCAAGACGTACAAGTTCATTTTGTGCTTTTGTTTTTGTAGCTGAAGCGAGTTTAAAAATGCTAATTAGTGAATTAAGTTATGCAGAAGCCCAATCATTTCAACTCGATGGCAAAGCCAACTTAAACTTTTGCGCGTTTGCGCACTATTAGCAATGGCAAACGTCTGTTTATTGTACCCGCAAATCCATCCGAGGTGCCAACACGAAATGGTCTGTCAGATCCGTTAAATGCGGGAGAGAAACTAAGATCTTCATTCCAAATCACTTCAGTGCACAGAATCACGGGGCGCTAAAACAGCCATTGATTTGGCCATCAAAAGTGTCTGCTTCTCAAAGCTCTGTTGATGACAGACGCGTCGCCTGCGGGCTTTTTGCGCGCACCTCCACCGCATCAGAGCGCCGCGAACTCTCTCCAAAGCGCCGCACAATCACGCCTCCCTCTCGCCCTTACTGTATGAGAAGATGTGGAGGTCCAGGAAAAGCCTCTGCTCACTCCGCAAGGCGCATCGCCTCTCCTCCTCCTCCTCCTCCTCCTCGCGTTTGGCACCAGCAGATGCTGCAGAAAATAAAGCTGTACCTGTCTCACGCGTCCTAAAGTTGACTGACGAGTACGGAGTGATGGGATAAACTACTGCAAGAGCAGGCAAACGCGATTTCCTCTTCAGTTTACGCACTCCTCCATTCCCTTCTGGTGGAAAACAACGGTCCCCTTGCCAGCACACACATGCACATCTGAAGGCAGCCGGTTGGAGAGAGAGATTTATATAGGACTGACTTCACCACGTGGTTGTGGTCATCACGGTGAGTCCGAGGGATTCGTCAGCGCGCGGGGATATCAGGCACTTCAGTGTAAATATCTCAGCGTGTCTTTTCTCTTCAGCACTGCGGCAAGGTCCTAACGCCCACTGGGTACTTCCACTCTGGCACGACCAGACTGGGACTCATTTGTACCTCCCCAAGAAAGTCAGAGTAAGCCACAAAACTTGCAAGAAAAAGATTTCGAGAGACCAAAAGTCCGTATAGGCTATTTCACCTGCGCAAAACGCGCGCAACCATTAGTCCCCAGCGGTAACGACAAAACATGTTGCCAGTATTTATCACATTATTATAGTGTTACATATAACAGGTAAGTCATAAAAACCTTTAGTGTTTTGTTTAAAGTGTCTTTCATATTGCTGATGTTGGGGATAAAGTGTACATACTATACACAAACAACATTACAAATTCAAACTAATTGGGTGATTTGAATTTTTTGTGATTACATTTTGTAATTTTTGTAAGATTTTAATTTTATATTGCAAGCCTTGTGTTCAAAACCATGTGAATATTTTGTAATGTGTATATTTTTTACAAACATCCACTTTATCCAAAATTATTGTAACAGGGTTGACATTTTAGCATCATCTAAAATTACTGACAGACAAAAAAAAAAATCTCGCTGTCTTCATGTAGGATATCCATCATCAGGCAAGCAGTAAAGTAAAGTTTCAGACTTGAAAATGTTGACTTTCTGTGTTACTCAGCAGTGTGGTACAGTTAATATTTATAGCCTTTATAAATTACATGAAATGAGACAGACAATTCTTAGTACAAAACCACCCATCTAGTCTGTTCTATCTTGCTTCATTTAGTATAATGCAAAAAAAAAATTACAAATAGTAGCTTACGGTACTACTGTTATGACACAGACAACTGATAAGGAATGGGAAAGCAGGCCCAAGTGTTGCATCAGCGCATAAAAATCTATCTGATAACCCTTTTTGGGAGGTTGCTACAAGTTGGGTGATCATAGGGCCGAGGCTGATTCTCTGTGTGCAACATGTAACGGCAGGCATTTTTCCACTCTTCCTCAATCTCCCTCGCCGCACCTGCTTGATTTACTTGAGCTTCTGCTTTAAAAAAATCATCATTTGCCAAAGCCTCCTGTGCCCGGCCCACACTCCTGTAATCTGTCAGGAGTGACAGGCCCTCAGAAGCCCACCGACGGCCTTACCCACCGCTGTAAACCAGATGTTGTCACTAAATCAGGACCGACAAAGACAGATGTGAGACTGCATGCGAGCAAGGGAGAAAAAGGTTAAGGATGTAAGGGAAAAAAACTAAATTAGATTAAGTGTAGCAAAACTGCACAACAATTTTATCTCACGGTCCACCTGATTGTTCTCACAATCACTTGCCGTGACTCAAGCAAGCTGATGAAACGAGGAAGAGGTTCTGTGATACAGACAAGGGGGCGGCTATGAAAAGATGAGCAGTGAGGGAGCGACAGAGGAGCTTGACCCATTCTAGGGAGCTGTGTCAACATGCCCTGGATAGGGCGGGCATTCCTGAGTGGCAGGTCACAGTGTTGTCGTGACAAATGGGCATTTCACGTTGGCCAAAATAAAGTGCGTACCCTCACAGGGTGATAGCGTACCCTCTCAGACACTGAGTAAATATATCTCAACAGGGTGTGTACACATAGCTCGACTGAGAGTGATAAAGAGGAAGTCTAGAATCATCACAACTGTCATTCCGGCAGGGCTGCACCTTTAAAGGTCAAAAGCCAACTCCTGGCAGCCGTCCAATCACAGACCCACAGTGCAACTCCGATGAAACGACCTGGTATATTAGAGCATACACTCCTAATGAGCTCAAGCAAATAAAATACACCATATGGCCCATAGCACATTTCAGTTTTAAAAAGTGTGTCCGTCTTCTAGAGGTCAGAATGTCAACCCAACTGTAGATCATTGCACTACTTTGACAGCAGTGCCACCCGGTGGTCAACTAAAACATCACAAAAGCCAATGGCGTCCAACCCTTCTCCTGCTCCAATACTAATTCACACACTTTAACCAGCTAATCAAGGTCTTCAGGGTTACTAGAAGCTTCTAGGCAGCCCTCCAAAAGCAGGATTGGACCCCAAACTAAAGTAAGACTAAAGTGATCCAAGAAGTATTTGGGGGCCTACACTTTGTGTTTGCATCGAATGTAAGGACATTGAGATAGGCCTATTCAGATTAAAAGTGGATCAAATACCTAAATCAGGATTCCTCAGTTGTGCTCCTGAAGGTCCACTGTACTGCAGAGTTTAGATCCAGCTCTGATCAAACGCTTGAACTTTTCAAACAATCCTGAAGATCTTTATTAGTTGGTTTAAAGGCTTTTACTGTATAGGTTTTTTACTGTTTTACTTCACTGTTGTATGCCTGTATTTATGTTACACCGTGGTCCTGTGAGGCACGACATTTCGTTCCACTGTATGTACTCACATGCAGCAGAATGACAATAAAGCTCAACTTGACTTGACTTGTGTCTGTTTGATCAGTGTTTGATCAGTTTTTTTTTTTTAAATCCACACCACAAAAATTCCATGATTACAGACAACCTTTTATGCACACCGATTAACTGCATGCAATAAAAAGACAAATAGCATTATTTTTATACTATTATAATTATATAATGAATATGATAATAGATATTTTGAATTAGTTTTGCATTTTAATTTAAGTTTTAGTAATCTTGTTGTGCACTTCTGTCATTTTTACCAGTTTAAGTTATTTTTTAAATTCTATTTAGCGTTAATTTATTTTTTATTGTAGTTCTAATCATTTTAGTAATGCAACTTAAAACTTATTTCAGTTTGTTGCCAAGGCAATTTTTCAAAATTTCTCATTTCGTATTTATATTTTATTTTAATTAAATTATCATAATGGTAGTAACAGTAATAATAATAATAATAGTTGTTGTAGTTAATAACACTGGTAAATAGGGGAGTAACGGTACATGGATTTGTCCCAAACCATCACAGTACGGATGTCACGGTTCGCTTCATGCAGTCAGATAAATGCAGTCAGTCATAGGCGATCAATCCAGAAGGGGGATTGATCAACACGTTAATGCAACACTAACTGTCACAACAGGAAAGAGCTGAAGCATGCAATGGCATGCAATGACTCGAAGAACTACCTACTTGCTTTAAATCAGCAGTTTGGGAAAGTTTCGGGCTCTAGAGATGCACCAGTCGACCGGCTATAAATCGGAACCGGTTATTCTCTTTTCCAGAATTGCACACAAACTGCATTGCAATCATTTCCCAAAATGTCATTTGTGGGGAATTTTTTATGAAGTCTGTAAAGAGGAGAAAATACTGTACCAGGCAGATCAAGCTCCCTGTCAGCGATGCTCGAAATATAGGAAGACAAATATGTGGGGGTTTATATGAATGTATCTCTGAGAGGAAATGACAGTCCTCAGAAATGTTTCGATGGCATTTTCTTTCTCTCTTATCTCCATATAATGCATATTAATGTTTATAAGCGCAGCTTATAAAGGACGGAAATGCTCTATGGCTGCTGTTCCATAAGCACCACCTGCAGTCAGAGAATAAATTTGCATTTTCATTCAGCCCGTCTGCTGTTTTTGTTTTGTGCAGCTGTCTTATGTAGCATCATTTCACAAATCTAAAGTGTTGCTATCATTCACAAATGAACGTGTAGAACATCAATGAGTAACATCTCCAGCTGATGGTGCGCTTCGTTAGCTTACCTGTTTCTTTTTTTTAAGTTGCTCTTTCTTCTCCTTCTCTTTGATCTTGTCCAGCTCTTTGTTCTTCATGAGGATGCTGGGTTTGCTGTCTGGCGTTTTTTTCCCCAGGACTTTGGCCATGGCTTCAGCCCATCCGACGTTGGGATTTTCCACACCATCTCCATTCTGTCCTTCTTCACTCTTTCCATCCTCATCACCGCTGTCTTCTACATCACTTCCCACACCGGATCCCTCCTGATCACTTCCTGGTCCACTCTCTCCATCATTACTGATGCTGTCATCAGAAACGCCACACTCTTCCTCTACACACCCACATCACACACAACAAATACATCATACATAAACATAGTCATGGCATCAATTTTAAAGGCGACCGTATGCATGTTAGACACACTTGCCTGAATCCGTGTCTCTGTTTTAAGAATGTTTGATCTAAAGACGTATGCTTGAAATCTGCTTGTGTATATAAATTGCGAAAATATATGTAAGTTAACGCATGTAAAAGCATCTCAGGATTCACCCCATAAAGTTGGTTAAGAGAATTTCCGTTTACATGTTGTTTGGGGACCCTAAACTCTATTGGTAACACTTTAGAATAGGGAACACTTATTCACTATTAACTACGACTTTTCCCTGGTTAAGAGAATTTCCGTTTACATGTTGTTTGGGGACCCTAAACTCTATGGGTAACACTTTAGAATAGGGAACACTTATTCACTATTAACTACGACTTTTCCCTTAATAAATTCCTAATTTGCTGCTTATTAATAGTTAGTAAGGTAGTTGTTAAGTTTAGGTATTGGGTCGGATTAGGGATGTAGAATAAAGCATTAATATGTGCTTAATTAGTACTAATAAATGGCTAATATTATAGTAATATGCATGCTAACAAGCAACTTGTAAAGAAACCCTAAAATAAAGTGTTACCACTCTATTCTAGCCATTTAACATTTCATCCATAGAGATAACGGAGTATACTGATCAATAAACCAAACGTAATATATTTGACAAAGTCGTATAAATGCCCAATAAATCACTAAATATTGCACAGAGTACGACTGTGTATTCTGTTTAACATGTCTACTGTAAAAACAAGACTAATTGTGCATACTGTAAAATCCCTCTCCCCTGTGTGTGGCAGCTGAACAGAGTAGAGTAACGTTAGAGTGAAGAAGAGACGATTGGTTTGATTAACGACTGATACGATACGTGCTACATCACAATTTGACGGTAAAACAGTTTAATTTCTCACCATTTCCCTCTTCAACAACGACATGTGGCTTCTTCAAGAGCGTCGCCATCTTTACTGGTATTTACGAGTACTCGCTAAACAGTCCGTGTGGAACAAGAGGCGCGCAGGAACGGTTCCGCACCTCTTATTTAGAATCGATGTATTAGTGTAAGCCTGTTCCAGATATTGCCCCTCAACCCCCCACTGAGAAAGACAAAGGCCATGTTGCAAAGGAAAACTCTCTAATAAGATGAGGACTGTTGAGAGGAACAAGGAATCAAGGCTCTGGGAATCCCACGTTTAATCAAATAAGAGAGTTAATATACTATAAGAGAAATAGAGAGATAGAGAAATACATATAAGACAAAAATATGACTTAATAATCATAATATCATTTTTGGGTTCAATCGTGCAGCCCTGCATACAAACATGGCAACCCTGGGGCACTTTAATAAAATCGCAATTTTAATAGAGTTGTTTCCCTAAATCATTCAGCCCTCAAAGTAGAATTAACTGTCTGTTTTTTTTTTTTTGTGGACATGTCATACAGTATTACAAACAAACAAACAAACAAATAAATTAAGCCTATAGTGACACAATTTAGCAACATTCTTATTACTGTAAAGAGAATACAAATATATGTTTTAACAGTCATGAAATTAACAACAACAACAAAAAAACATCCCAAGGGACTTTACCAGACACACACACACACACACACACACACACACACACACAGACACACACACACA